ACACAGAGAGAGAGAGAGAGAGAGAGAGAGAGAGAGAGAGAGTTTTTAAGTTACTTTCTGAAAGAACAGACCTAACTCATAGCAAGTACCATTTTCAGAATTAAACACACAGCAGAAACTCCCAGGAAGTTGGTGACAGGGGAACAAGCATGCTCTCTGAATATGTTTATTTGTGTCAGAGTCAGTTCCAGGCATCCATCAGCAGCAAGAGAAGAGATTTCAGTTGACAGATTGCAGATAAGAACCTGGGTTGTTGGGCAGAGGTGTTTCCTATTTCCCCTGGGTCAGAGTGGACCCTCCTCCAAGACTACCACATTTGTCCTCAAGTAGGGACACTAAGAATGTAATTACTGGCTAGATGTGGTGATACTTGCCTTTAATACCACCACTTGGGAGACAGAAGCAGGTGAATCTTGTTAATTCAAGGCCAGCCTGGTCTAGGCCGCAAGTTCCAGGACAGCCAGAGCTACAGAGTGAAACCCTGTCTCAAATGACAAATAAAAAGAGAATAGAGGGGGCTGGAGAGATGGCTCAGTGGTTAAGAGCACTATCTGTTCTTCCAGAGGGCCCAGGTTCAATTCCCAGCACCCACATGGCAGTTCACAACTGTTTGTAACTCCAGTTCCTGTGGATCTGACACCTTCACACGAATGCACATAAAATAAAGTTAAATAATTATAAAAGAGAGAGAGAGAGAGAATAGAATTGGACCAAGCACTCTTCCCTCTGCAGGTAAGCAATATGTCCTGTAAAGAGCCCTGGGAAGTTAGGGGTGTGAGGCGGGGTGCTCTCCCTGCACAAAGTGGGGGTGTGGGGCAGTTGGCAGGGTGCTCTCCTTGCACAAATCCCAGGGCTCCATCCTTGGTACTGCATAAAACTGGGCATGGTGAGACAAACTTGTAATCCTACATTTGAGAGGTAGGGGCAGAATCAAAAATTCTAGGTCCTCTTCCACTGTATCCTAGGATACATGAGACCCTGCCTCAAAACAGCAGCAGCAACAAGAAGAAAAGGAACTTCTGAATGCTTCTTACTGAAGAACATATCAAGCATGGCCCAGCTGAGCACACAGGGAAGCAGAGCTGAAACCCATTTCCATCCTCTATGTCCTCCACAGTCAATTAGCCAGACGCTGACAGTACTGTGTATTCAGGATCCCACAGTGGCCAGGAGCCTTTCTCAGGGTGAGTTTTTCAGTACAAAAACTGCATCCTGTGTTGACATACTTCAGTTAGTAAGATAGTTAGCCAGGCTGGATATGGTGGCACACCCCTTTCATCCCAGTACTCAGGAGGCAGAGGAAGGTGGATCTCTGAGTCTAAGGCCAGCTTGGCCTACAAAGCAACTTTCAGGACAGCCAGGGCTGTTACACAGAGAAACTCTGTCTGGGATGGGGGTGGAGAGATCGCTGGCCAGAAGTGGAACTACAGCAGCCAAACATCAAGGTTAATAATTTAGAGACTATTACTTTGACTGGTGAGGTCTTTGGCAGGCGGTGCTGTTTGTGTGCTGAGATTTATGACCTGAATGGTACCAGTTGTGCTAAGGCCTGGGGGCCTGTTCCCTCTCTACCCACATATGACTCAATCTCTCTCTCTCTCTCTCTCTCTCTCTCTCTCTCTCTCTCTCTCTCCCTCTAGAGAG